CTCATATTTATTTTTCCTCAAGAAGACACCCTAGGGCTGATTTTCAGGGGATGTGCTATTTGTTTTAAGTACGGTACAACCACCTACATTGATTCAAATAGAGTGAAGTCATCTTCTTCTGGGACATCATCCTCACTCTCCAGACCCCGAATCCCATCCTGAATGCCTTGCGACTCTGTTTCCTTTAGAACCACTGGCCCCGATCTCTCCTGTGGAGCACTAGAGCTCTCACGGGGCGGATGAGAAGGGCTGCTCGTGTTCTTTCCCGCTCCACGACCACACGCACGGGTTGTGCAGATGCGCTGCACAGCCACGCCCGTCACTAGGGCTGATTTTCATAGCCACGCCCATCACTAGGGCTGATTTTCGGGGTGGGGCTTCTATGGCGCACGTGCTCAGAAATCCTGCTGGGGCTTATTGTATGGGGAGGTCTGATTTTATGGGAAACACGGTAGCGGTGGGGTAGGTTGTTAACTTGGATAATTCCCTGACCCTTAGATTCCTCCTCAGCACAGGGAGAGCCGGGATGCCTCCCGCTGGGGTTGCCGCGTGGCTCGGCGACCATGTGCACACACCTGGCTGGGTGGGACCCACTGTCACTTGGTTGTAGTAATTGGCCATCCCAGTGCTGCCATCCAGTTTTCTTTAGGTCTTGTTGAGTGTGCAGAATGTCAGGAGTACTTATATCTGCATAGAAGTTACAAAACTTAAATTAATGCCAAATGTATTCGGTTTCTGTGTTGTCTACGCTCGTATTCCTTCCAAGTGCACAAGGAAGTCCTCTTGAGGATCTAGAAATTGACTGAAGGATGTGCCTCAGCCACAAGAGGCCTCCACGTGGCTGGGCGCGACGGGGTTTTCCCGGGAGTCTTTCGTGGCCTCGTGGCACTTCCCACGCAGAAACCACCGCACCAGCAGGACAGCTGTCACCTGCCCCGTGTCAGCCTGTAAGCCTTCTCGAGTCTTTGTTACTCCTCATACAGGAGCCTTCGGCATCCAGTGTTTTTTGTTTTACCCTCTGTCCTTTCAGAAAGGAGCCAGCCCATGGTTTCACCGTTCAGGTACGACTCACGTAACTCAATCTCCTACATGTAGGGATATATAACTTTATCCCTTGGTTATGCCCCAAGTGTTGCTGTTTAAAGTCGAAGCCAGGACACAGCCTGCCTTACCTCTCAGTTGATAAATATAAGTTGGGTGGGTATTCTTGCTTCTCCTAGATATTCAGAGAATATTATTTATCTGTGATGCAGCACAGACGAAAGCTGAAGCTCATTAATTCTTGCTGTCTTCAAAGATGGACTTTGAAAAATACTCATTTTCTGGGTTCTTTTAAATATCCTTCTCCTCCAGCCCCCATTAGTACGAGGACTGGTAACTGCTGTCTTCCCTCCCTCGGCACGAGAAAGTCCTTGCACGGAAGAATGTGCCTTGAATCTCAACAACCGCACCACTTACACCCTTGCTTCACACTGACAGGTGCTGAGGCAGCCTGTGTGGGGGAGGGCCTTGCTTTGGAGAGGAAGGCACACCTGGGCATAGGCGGGCGCTCCTGCCGCCCTTTGGTCCTGGGAAGGGTGGGACTTTTCCCTGAGCTGAACCCTCTGAATGTCATCAGAAACCAGATGGTAAATTTGCAGAAAGGTCTGTATTCGTTTCAGTTCAGAGGCCTTTTACCTGCAGGGTGTAGGTCGTGAAGGGGTCCTTGGGTGATCTGAGGAGTCCCTGAACCCTCCCAGTACCACCCCCCTTCAAAATCCTGAGTCACGTTGTGAGTTCATGCGCCCTTTTTGTGGAGTGTTTCCATTGGATTCCCAAGGGCGCCATCTATGGTCCCAAACAGGTTAGGAACCTTTCCTTTCTCTTGGCCGTCTTCCCCTTCCCGCTCTTCCACAGCCATGCCGGGCCACCCCCTGCACGAGTTTGTGTGGCTTCACTGACGAGAGCCCCACGGCGCCCTCGTGTGAGCCCCTCGTACCCCACTGTGGGGAGGAGACACTGAAAACAGAAGCGGGGGGTGGGGCCCTGACCAAGGGCAAGCGGCTACTAAATGTCAGACGCACAAAGACTCAAACTCAAACTGGAGGGAAAAACAAGCTGTGGGATTCAGGAGCCGGTGCGAGAATATTCACGACATAACGGTCACACTGTTTGCTTCGTTGTCATGTGCATGTGTGCTCCCAAGGCTCTCAAGACCCCCAGGATGAAAGACAAGCACCAAAGAGTGAGCGCAACAGAGCTGTCTGCGGAGGTGGAGCGGCCGTCGCAGGCGTGCCCTGCCTCGCGGGCTCAGTCCGTGCCGGGGCGGGAGGTGGCGCCCTCCTCCGGAAAGCTGGAGTGGACACTGTCATTCCGCGGTGCGGGGTGTTTTGAGGAATTTCCTCTTCATTGGGATTCCAGCTACACATGCCGAGGAGTTCTCTTGTTTCAGGCGTACGTACTGAAAACATTGCCGACGCCCCCAGATTCTGCTGGACTCTGCCTGCCCCAGAGTGACGGGGGTCGCCCTCGGCCCTGCCCAGCACAGCCAGTCTGGGGCAACCGAGACCCCGGCAAAGCGTCCACAGCCCTGGCCCCTGGCGCCGTCCGAGGGACCTGTACCCTGTCCGAAGGCCCCATCCCTGTCCGAGGGACCTGTCCCCGTCCAGGGGCCCGTCCCCGTCCGAGGGCCCGTCCCCGTCCGAGGGCCCGTCCCCGTCCGAGGGGCTGACATCCCCGTCCGGGGACCTTACCCCGTCGGAGGCCCCGTCCGTACGAGGGTCCCCATCCCCGTCCGAGGACCGTCCCCGTCCGAGGGCCCGTTCCCCGCCGAGGGCCCGGTCCCGTCCAGAGGGCCCGCATCCCCGTCCGAGGGACCTGTACCCCGTCCGAGGGCCCGTCCCCGTCCGAGGGCCCCATCCCCGTCCGAGGGACCTGTACCCGTCCGAGGGGCCCGTCCCCGTCCGAGGGCCCCATCCCCGTCCGAGGGACCTGTCCCCGTCCGAGGGCCCGTCCCCGTCCGAGGGCCCATCCCCGTCCGGAGGGAACCTGTTACCTCCGTCGAGGGCCCGTCCCCCGGCTCCGAGGGCCCGGTCCCCGTCCGAGGGGGGCCCGCATCCCCGTCCGAAGGACGCTGTAGCCCGTCGAGGGGCCCCGTCCCCGTCCGAGGGCCGCCATCCCCGTCCGGGGACGCGCGGTTGGCTGTCCCCGTCCGAGGCGCCGTCCCCCGTCCGAGGGCCCGTCCCGTCGAGGCCCCGTCCCGCCGAGGAGCCAGCCGTGACGAGGCCGCACCGGGCATCCCTCCGCTTGCGCGCAGAACGGTGCCCCAAAGGAACTTCCTCGGCTGCCGGCCTCTGTGCCACAGAACGTGCGAGAGCTTTGGCTCGCTTGGGATTTACGCCCAAAAGCTTTCGATTTCTCATTCCCAATAAAGGGCCTATGCCTAGTGTACGACACAGACCTTTAAAATCTAAAAGCCCCGAAA